CACACACACACACACACACACACACACACACCTGTTAAAGAAGTAGACACATTTTCAACACAGAAAGGGACATCATGTCTATATAGGGTGTAGGGGTACCTAGCCTTAAGCAAATGAAGCTCAAGGACAACACTCAGGTTCTGAAGTCAAGCCCCAGGAGAGAGAAAGAGAGAGAGGCACACACACACACACACACACACACACACACACGTTAAATAAGTAGACACATTTTCAACACAGAAAGGGACATCATGTCTATATAGGGTGTAGGAGTACCCAGCCTTAAGGTCAAGGACAACACCCAGGTTCTGAATTCAAGCCCCAGGACACACGCGCACACACACACACACACACACACACACACACACACACACACGCGTGCGTACGTTAAAGAAACAGACACATTTTTAACACAGAAAGGGACATCATCTCTATATAGGGTATAGGGGTACATACCTGTAATCCTAACAATAAGCTTGAACGAGATGGGACACTCCAGACCAGACTGGATTACATATCATTTCACAATCAGTATTCACAAATTTGTGGAAATCTACAAACATTTGGACATGTAGTTGAAATTATTGCATTATTATATTGATACAGATAAAGTGTCTAGAAAGTACTCTTTCTATGACTTTTGCATTTCATGTTTTGCTGTCTTAACTCTTACATATCTCTGTCTATCTATCTATCTATCTATCTATCTATCTATCTATCTATCTATCTATCTATCTATCTATCCATCCAACCATCCAACCATCTATCTATCTATCTATCTATCTATCTATCTCTATCCATCCATCTAGCACATGTTGTTTGAGTACACACAGAACATTTGTTTTATACAGAAGCCCCCAGACTTTTCCTGTGATGGACCTTACGCTAAATATTTGAGGCTTTTCAGGCCATCCAGGCGCTGTTGCAACTGCTCATGCCTGCTATTACAGCACAAAGTCAACTAGATCATGTGTAAGAAATGACATAGCTGTCTTCTAGTAAGAATTGTTTACAAAAACAAGCAGCCTATGTATTTATGCTGTAAGTCAGAAATGGACTGCCCTTGATTTTTATGTTATTAAATGCATCATTTAGTCTTTGATTACAAAATTCGTTTAAATGGCTTTAGGGTAAAGTTAAAGACAGAAGAAAAGAGATAAGATTCAGAGTAAAACGTTGTTGGAGTTACAGATGAAGACATACTTTTTAGAGATTTAATGATATTCTTACACTGATGACCTGGGAATCCATTAGGCTATTTTTTTTTTTTTACTAGAAACTGCTGTTTTCAAGTTAATCATTATTATTTTAAATGTTTTATTTTGAATCTTCCAGCTATCACCACATGATAATTTGATTCTCAGTCAGCCAGTTTCTTCACCTCTTCCATTAAGGCAAGTAAAATTTCATTTCTATTTATTTTTTTAAATCTGAAGTGAGCTAAAATTACGTGTGTGTGTGTATTCTTTCTTTCCAAGCCAAAATCTCAAACATTGATGGAAGTAATTTTCACTTAACAGCCTCTCAGCTACTTTCCTTTGGAAGAAAAAGAAAAGCTTTTTTTTAACTTAAATTTTTTGTTATGAAAATACTGTACAAAGGGGTTACAGTTATATGAGCAAGGTAATGAGTACGTTTCTTATCCAGCAGTGTTGCCTCCTCCTTTGTTTTTCCCCTACCATCGCTTAAGAAAAGCTTTTGTAATAGTGTTTGACATTTTGAGTATTTTCATGTGAAGAAGTACTTACTATTGCATAAATTAGAATTTATACATAAATTATGAAAATAACTATTTTCAACTGTAATTGTCCTCTGAAGAACATTTGGATGTAATTTTAAATTTGACCTCAAATTTAAAAGTTTTAATTGCTAAGCAATTGTGTTTAATGATTTTAAATGTTCAGAGAAATTATGAAATATGTTTTTCCTACAGTGCCATTTCTTGAAATTTAATTAGATGTGTAATTTATTTCTGTCAGAAATAGTTAGAGTTGTAATTAAGCTATTACATAGCACATCCCTAAGGGAGACTGGCTGCCATCTTATACATTAATTTTGCAAGAATTGCAGATTATTTCATCACTAGCTCTTAGCCAAGAGTGACCAATGTTTTCTTAACTGTTGTTTGAGCTGAAAATGAACTAGAAACATTGATTGTAAATGTGATTCTAAATTATACAAAAAACTTACTTTGGGTACTTTATTGAGATAAAATTCACATGCTACAAAATTCACCCACATTACTATTTGGTGATTCTGTTCAAAGTTTTGTAACTATTGCTATAATAAAATTTAGATTATTTTCATTACCCTAAAAAATAACACTGTGTCTTTTAACATTCAGCAGTTAGCCTCCTTCATTTCACCACTTCATTTTACCCTCTGTCCTTACACACACACATACTAACACATAGGTACATATGCCATTTGACCCTAGGCAACCAATAACCTGGTTTTTACTCTAATAGATTTACCTATTCTGGAGATTTCATACAAATGAAAATGTACTATGCATGACTCAGTCATATATTCCTGATAGAAGAGTATACAGCATGCAGTGTATTATGCAATGCTTAATTTTAAAAGATTAATAAAAAACAACTTCTATTAAAGAATTTTTCAGCCAAAGCACCTCTTTTAATTGAATTCTTTGGACATTTTCTACAAGGCAGGTCTTTTTGTGTGAAGCTAAGCAGATAAGTGTAATGATGAATGTGTGTAATCCCAGCACTCTGGAGGCTGAGGCAGGAGGATCCTAAATTCAGGACAAGCCTGGGTTACATACTAACGTCCTGTCTCAAAAACAGCCATAAGAACAAAAGGGGGAAAAAAGGAAGCACATGTCTTTTCACTTTCCATATTGAATTTAGTGGAAGAAAGAATGATTTGAAACTTCATAAATTGCATTGTTTTCATGATGTATGATGTTTTGTTACTCTAAGATTAGCAGCAGTTACCTATTTAACTTAACTTTTTAAGTTAAATAGGTAATATAAATCAGAATCTAATAACAAAAACTTCTCTGTATCCCCCTTACTTTAGATAATAAGTGGTGTTTGGTTTTTGTTTTTGCAGTAGTAGGTATTCAGGGCTTGCATGTTCTATCACTGAGCCATAACCCCAGTATAAGGTGTCTTGATCTTTATATTTAAAATTATATATTTTTGTTTGAATTGACAGTGGTGGCAAGTTTTCAACACTACTTCAGAATCTAGGCCCTGAAAATGCGGTGACACTACTAGTCTTTGCAGTAACGGAACATAAAATTCTCATTCATTCCTTACGGCCTTCTGTGCTTACTAGTGTGACAGAAGCCTTAGTGTCTGTGAGTATCAGTGTTTCTTGTTGACAGTCACTTTAAACTCAATTTACTCATATAATATAAAACTATTTTAGTATTTAGCTAAGCTTCACAAAGTAATGGATTTGTGTGTTGAGGCAATTTTAATGTCCTCATCCTGAACTTTAGTTATTATTTAGGCTTTAGGTAGTAATGTTTAAAAGATATTATTTGTGTGCTGAAAAATTATGCTTCAGTGTCAAAAAGGTTTTAATATTCTTTTTCCATTTGTTCATCCAAGATGATTTTCCCTTTCCACTGGCCATGCCCGTATGTTCCTCTTTGCCCACTGGCCTTGGCAGATGTCTTGAGTGCACCCTGTCCATTCATAGTAGGGATTGATTCCAGATACTTTGATCTCTATGATCCTCCACCCGATGTCAGCTGCGTTGACCTTGATACCAACACCATTTCTCAGTAAGTACATTTTTAGTGACTCTACAGCTAATAATTTTCAACCTTAAAGGATTGGGATTTGAGGACTGCAAAGTAGGATTCTTTGAGCTGTATTTTTTTCTTTTTTCTTTTTTTGTCAGTTGTGGGGCTTGCACTCAGGGCATGGGCACTGTCCCTGAGCCTCTTTGTGCTCAAGACTAGCCCTCTACCACTAGAACCATAGAACCACTTCCTTTTTGTTTTATTTGGCCAGTCATGGGGCCTGAACTCTGGGCCTGGGCACTGTCCCTCAGCTCTTCAGCTCAAGGCTAGTGCTCTAACACTTGAACCACAGCACCACTTCCGGCTTTTTCTGCTTATGTGGTGCTGAGGAATCAAACCCAGCACCTCATGCATGCAAGGCAAGCACTCTACCTCTGCGCCACCTTCCCAGCCCTTCCTATTATTTTCTTTGCATTTGAGGTTTTACCATCTTTGAGTCAGCTCTTCAGTGCAACAGAATATAGTAGGTTATTAGAGAAGATCTTACTGGAACAAAAATATACCTTGAATACTCAGGTATTTTAAGTATTTTAGAAATATTATAATCTTATGCTTACTTAGAAATGAGGTAGAAATAGAAAAAGGTTGTCTCTCTTTGGGCAGATGAATATGGGTAAAATTAGAGTTTGAATTAAAAAATAATTCTTGGGGCTGGGAAGGTGGCTCAGTGGTAGAGCGCTTGCCTTGCATGCATAGGCCCTGGGTTTGATTCCTCAGCACCACATAAGCAAAAAAAGCCGGAAGTGGCGCTGTGGCCAAAGGGGAGAGTGCTAGCCTTGAGCTGAAGAGCTGAGGGACAGCGCCCAGGCCCAGAGTTCAGGCCCCACAACCGGACCCCCCCCAAAAAAAAATTATTTCTTGAACATCACTTCAGTCCTGTTTCTAGTCCTGTTTAATACTAAGCAAACTATACATCACATTAATCAAATATTTTAGAATTTTGAAATAGCATTTTATGGTACTAAGGTTTAGACTGAGGGCTTTGCTCTCATTTGACTTGGTTGATTGGATGGCACTGTAACTACTTGAACCATGCCTCCAGCCCAACTTTTCACTGATGATTCTAGAATCAGAATATGACAGACTTTTCTGCCTGAGCTTGCTTCCAACTTCCATTCTCTGGATATTTCAGCTTCCTGAATAGCAAGAATTCTAGTGGCAAGAGCCACTAGAACTTGACTTAAATTTTAAATTATGCATTTTACCACCTTTTCACTTTGGAATACTGTTTAAGCTGTATTATTTTACTTTATTGCCAGTCCTAAGCTTGAACTCTGGGCCTAGTTGCTGTCCCTGAGCTCCTTTTGCTCAAGGCTAGCACTCTACCATTTGAGCCACAGTGCCAATTCCACCTTTTTCTGTGATTAATTGGAGATAAGAGTCTCACAGGGTTTCCTGCTTGGACTGGCAACCATGATCCTCAGATCTCAGCATACTGAGTAGTTAGGATTACAGGCATGAACCATGGATGCCGTCTTTAAGCTGTAATTATCAGACCATATTTTTATAGCTCTTATATATTTCCTTGTTTCTTTATAACCCATATTTTCAGTTTAATTTATCGTTTTCATTTTAGTTCACTTCAACCTATTCATGGAGGAAGATGAATAGGTTGAAGATAATTGCATCCACAGAGCATGCTGAAAATTACTATGGTTTAGTACATCAGTAAAGTCCAAAAGCTAATCTAACTTTTATACTTAAATAAGCACATGTGAACTGAGCACTGACAGTTCACACCTGTAATCCTAGCTACTCAGGAGGCTGAGATCTAAGGATTGTGGTTGGAAGCCAACCCAGGTAAGAAAGTTCATGAGACTCTTATCTCCAGTTAACCACCAGAAAAATGGAAGTGATCCTATGGCTCAAAGTGGTAGAGCACTAGCTTTGGGCAAAAGGGCTCAGAGATAGGGTCCAGACCCACAGCTGAGAGGAAAAAAAAGAGCACATGTGAAATTGATTTTTCTCTATTTTCTTATTGATTGGTACTAAGAATTGAACCATACTCAGATATAAATAAGCATCTATCTACAACTAAACTCCAGCTCCTCCATTTTTAAAGAGCTTTTCCTTTTAAAACCTTTTAACTCCACAATTTTAGGTCTAATCAATTTCATTCCCACTATCATTCCTCTTTTTCTCCTTTCTCCTCTTCCTCCTTTCCTGACACAATGTTAACAGGTTTCTTTGCTCAGTTTTCACAGTTTCAGTCTATTTTCTATTACTCTATTATTCTTTTTCCCTACCTCCTTTCCTTTGCATTGCTGAGTAGTTCCTTCGATAGATTCAGTGTTCTATGTTTATCTATATATACAGTTATGTAAATGGCACCTATCTATGTACATGTCCATGAATATGTATATATGCCCAATTGGTATGGCAAAGTCATATCTATTTTTAGTGTTTTGAGGAACTACCATATTGATTTACATAGTAGTCATACTAGTTTACATTCCTACCACCAGATGTGAAGGTTAATTTTTCTTCACATCCTCACCAGAATTTCTTTTGTGTTTTCTTGATGGCTGCCATTCTGACTGGGATGAAATGCTTGGTGTGGTTTTGATTTGCATTTCTTTATGACTAAGAATGTTGAATATTTCTTCATGTATCTATTAACCCTTTTTATTTCTTGTGAGAACTGTTTCATTTGCTTGGCCCTGGATTAATTGGGTTTTTCTTCTCTTACCATTTAATTTTTTTTTAGTTTTTTTGTGTATTCTGGATATTAATCCTGTATTGGTTAAATAGCTTGCAGCAATTTTCTCCCTTTCTATGATTGGCTCTTGGCTCTGGTGACTTCTCCTTTTGCTGTGCAGAAGCTTTTTAATTTGGTATAGTCCCACTCGTTAACTCTAGCTCCCATGATCTGGGCACATGAAGTGCTATTCAGAAAATACCTATGCCTATGTCTTCCAGAGATTTTTCTATGCTTTCCTATAGCAGAATTAAACTTTCAGATCTTGGTTGGATGCAAGTGACTCATGCCTATAATCCTAGCTACTCAGGAGGCTGAGATCTGAGGACTGAGGTTAGCCAGCCCAGACAGAAATGTCTGTGAGACTTTTATCTCCAGTTAACCAGCCAAAAGCCAGAAGGAGAGCTGTGGCTCACATGGTAGAACACCAGCCTTAAGTGAAAAAGAAAAGCAAAGACTTGAGGCCATGAGTTCAGTCCCAGTACCGCCCCCAAACCAAAACAAACAAAACAAAAACAGAACCCTGTAGTTTATTTTTGTACAGGTTGAGAGATGGAGGTCTAGTTTCAGTCTCCTGCAAGCATATAACAAATTTTACCAGTTCTTTTTGTTGAAAATACTGTCTTTTTTCCATTGTGTGTTTTTGGCTTTTTTGTCAAAAATTAATTGGCTGTGGTATGTGTTTTTTTTTTCCTTCTGGATTTTATATTGTTCCATTGGTCTTTAGGTCTTTTTTTGTGCCAGTACCAAGTTGTTTTTGTTACTATGGCTCTGTAGTATAAATTGAAGTCAATTTATCAAGGGTTTTTTTCCCCTGCATCAATTGAAATGATTTTGGCAATGATTCTGTTGATGTGATTACTACATTTATTGATTTACATATATTGAATCAGCCTATATTCCAGGAATAAAATCAACTTGATCATGGTGTATGATCATTTTATGTGTAGTTGAGTTTAGTTTGCAAGGATTTTATTGAAAATTTTTGCATCAAGATTGGTCTGGGTTTTTTGTTGTTGTTGTTGATTTTTGTTTTTATTATTTTTAAATTTTATTTTATTATAAAGATTCTGTACAGAGGGGTTACAGTTACATGAGTAAGGCAATGTAATCTCTTCAGCTCAAGAGGCAAGTGCTCTACCACTTGAGCCACAACACCACTTCTGGTTTTCTGATGGTTAATTGGAGATAAGAGTGGACTTTCCTGCCTAGGCTGGCTTTGAACCGCGATCCTCAGGTATCAGCCTCCTGAGTAACTAGAATTACAGGTGTGAGCCACTGGCTCCAGGCTGATCTGTTTTTTGATGAATTCTGTCTGGTTTTGGAATGGATGTAATACTTCATAGAATGAGTTCAGGTGTGTTCCTTCCTTTTCTATTTTATGGAACTGTTTGAGAACTATTGGAGTTCTTCGAAAGTTTGATAGAATTCAGTCATGCATCCATCTAGACCTAGGTTTTTCTTTGTTGGGGTGTCTATAGTACTATTTGAATTTCTTTTCTTGCTATAGCTCTGTTTAAGAGTTTTTTATCCTCTTGGTTTAGTTTGGATGAGAAAACTGTATTAAAAATTGATCCATTTCTTGGATGGCCCTAGGACAAATCATGTTAAGTGAGATAAGCCAAGCGCAGAGACAAATGGCATATTTTCTCATGCAGAACCTAGATCTAATATACATGGAACATGATAAATTATATAAGAGTCTAGGCAGTCACACAGTGGGACCAAAGGAGGATATTCTTAGGAGGGGAAAACAAAGGCATAATGCCTAGGTGTATCTGGTAATATAAAATAATATTTATTGAAATTAACTCCAGGAAATCAAAATGAAAAGGTCTTTGTTGATGTTTTTGTTTTCTTCTTGTCTTGTTTGCTTATTTGTCTTTGGGATAGTAAGTGAGGACACAAAAATGGAGGGACAGGAAGTGAATAAATAAAGCAATGGTACTCACTAGACACTATGTTGAAAATGAATGATACAACTTGTGGGTAGGAACAGTAGGGAAAAACTGGGAGAGACTAAAGGAAAGGGTGGCATTGTCCAAAAAGAAATGTACTCATTATCTGGCTTATATAACTGTAACCTCTCTGTATATCATCTCTATAATAATAATAATTTTATTTTGGTCAGTAGTGGGGCTTGAACTCTGGGCTTGAGCACTGTCCCTGTGCTCTTCAGCTTAAGATGAGCGCTCTACCACTTGAGCCATAGCACCACTAACAATAATTTTTTTGCAAGTTCTGGGTCTCGAACTCAGGACCTGGGCACTGTCCCTGAGCT